CTCTTCTTGTTCCAAATGAAATTTGTATTGTTTTCTCCAGGTTTGTGAAGTATGCTGCTGGGATTTCAATTGGGATTCATTGAATCTATATAGCAGTTTTGGAAGTATGGCCATTTTCACTATGTTGATTCTTCCTACCCAGCAGCAAGGGATGTCTTTCCATTTTCTGATATTCTCTTCAATTTCTCTTTTCAGAGTGCTATAGTTTTCAGATTAGAGGTCTTTGATTTCTTTTGTTAGGTTGATTCCTAGTTATTTCAGGTTTTTGGATGCTATTGTGAATGGAATTGATTGCCCATTTCTCTCTCAGTGAGTCTGTTGTTCATGTAGAGGAAAGCTATTGATTTTTGTGTGTTGACCTTGTAGCCAGCTACTTTACTGAATTTGGTTATTAAGTCTAGGAGACTTTTCATGGTGTTCTTAGGATCGTCTATATAGAGTATCATGTCATCTACAAATAATGACAATTTGACTTCTTCATTTCCTTTCTTTATTCCTTTTATTTCTTTCTCTTGTCTAATTGCTGTGGCTAATGTTTCCAGAACTATATTGAACAGCAGTGGTGATAGTGGACATCCTTCTTTTTTTCCTGATTTTAGTGTGAAGGATTTCAATTTTTGACCATTTAGTATGATATTGGCTGCTCGTTTTTCATAGATGGCTCTTGTCAGTTTGAGGTAGAGATCATCTATTCCAATTTTTTGTAGGGTTGTTATCATAAATGCATGTTGGATTTTGTCAAATGCTTTTTCTGCGTCTATGGAGATAATCATATGGTTTTTATCCTTGGCTCTATTGATACAGTGTAACACATTTAATGGTTTGTGTATGTTGAACCATCCCAGCATCCCTGGGATGAATCCCACTTGGTCAGGTTGTATGATCTTCTTGATGATCTTCTGCATTCTATTTGCCAGTATCTTATTGAGGATTTTTGCACCTATGTTCATTAGTGAGATTGGTCTAGAGTTCTCTTTTTCAGTGGGATCTTTCTCTGCTTTGGGGATCAAGGTGATGCTTGCTTCCAGAAATGAATTTGGGAGTATTGCTTCTCTTTCAATTTCATTGAAGTGTTTAAACTGTAGTGGCAGTAGTTCCTCTCTAAATGTCTTGTAGAAATCAGTAGTGAAGCCATCAGGACACGGGCTTTTCTTAGTTGGTACGTTTTTAAATTATATTTTCAATTTCACTGATTGATATTGGGTCATTTAGAAATTTTAGGTTATCTTCGTTCAACTTTAGTAATTCACATGCATCTATGAATCTGTGCATTTCTTTTGCATTTTCCATCTTATTGGCATATAGGTTTGTGAAGTAGGTACTGATGATCCTCACGATTTCTGCTGGGTCCATTGTAATTTCATCCTTTTCATTCCTTGGATGCATGGATTTGGTCCTTTTCCTTCCTTTTTTTGACAAGGTTGGCTAAGGGTTTCCAATTTTGTTTGTTCTTTTGAAGAACCACGTCTTGGACTCATTGCTTTTTTGTATTATTCTCTTAGTCTCCATTGCATTGATTTCAGCCCTGATCTTTATAATTTCCTCCCTTCTATGGGTTTTGGATTTGTCCTGTTCTTTTTTTTCTAGAACCTTGAGGTTCAGCATCAGGTTGTGTAATTGAGCTCACTCTGTTTTCCTAATGTGAATATTCACTGCTATGAATTTCCCTGGTAAGATTGCTTTCATTGTGTCCCATAGATTCCAATATGTTGTATTGGCATTGTCATTTAATTGTAGGAAATGTCTGATTTCTTCTTTAATTTCCTATGTGATCCATCGGTTATTCAGAAGTGTGTTGTTCATTTTCCATGTGTTTATGAATTTTTGTGATTTCTTTTGCTATTGATCTCCAATTTCATCACATTATGGTCTGACAATATACAGGGGATAACTTCAATTACTTTGCACTTACTTAAACATGTTCTATGAGCGTGTATGTGGTCTATTTTAGAGAACAACCTAGGCGCAGCTGAAAGGAATGTGTATTCTGATTTTGCTGTGTGGAACACTCTGTAAATATCTGTTAAGTTCATTTGTTCAAGAGTTTTATTGAGTTCTAGTATTTTGTTGTTTATTTTTTGTCTAGTAGATCTATCTATTTGTGAGAGTGGGGTATTAAGGACCCTCACTACTACTGTATTAGTACTTATTTCATGTTTCATGTCCGTTAGTATTTGTTTTATATACTTGGGCTCACTAGTGTTTAGTGCATATGTATTTATGATTGTCATCTCCTCCTCTTGGATTGTTCCCTTTGTCTCTCTTAATAAGTGTTGGTTTGAAATCCACTTGATCTGAAAAGAGGATAACTACTTCTGCTTTTTTTTTCAGTTTTCAGACACATGGAGTATTGTTTTCCACCCTTTAATTTTCAGTCTATGAGTTTCTTTTTTAATTGTGTTTCTTGTATGCAGCATATTGTTGGATCTTGCTTCTGGACCCATTCTACCAATCTATTTCTTTTGATTGTTGAATTGAGCCCATTAACATTGATGATTATAATGTATTAACTTATCATTGTCATGACTTTTTCTTTCTGTTGCATCCCCTTTTGCATTTAATTTCTTGTCAAGCCTGATGGATTCATTCTGTTGGCTTCCTGAGGTTGTGATCCTCATTGTCTTTTCCTAGGATATTGTCTAAAATTTTTTGGAGTGCTGATTTGGTATTCATGAAGTTCCTAAGGTGCTCTTTGTCA